ATATATATATATATATATATATATATATATATATATATATATATGAGAGATCAATTGCAAACCACCCTCATTTGTAAAAACCTTACAAACCAATCTCATCTATCCATTTTCTTGATTAATGGTCAAGATTAAATGAGTTTATATTATAAATAAAAAAAATAAAAAAAATAGAAGTTTAATTTTTAATTGAAAAAATGGCAAATCTGTAAAATCCCAAATATTAGAAGGTAATAAATACTGTTAATTTTGGAAACGTAATAATGGAAACGTTTCATATAGAAGGAGGTAAATCATTTCTTCTTAATATAAATATTTTACCATTAATATGTTTTATTATTTTTTACCATTATATTTTATAAACAAATGAATTTTAAAAGTAGTAGAATATGAAGTATGTGTTCCGTTTCACTGAAAAAATATATGTACTTTGAGTAATGAAATTAATTTCATGTTCAATAATGACCAACAAACAGTTTCACAATATTTCGGAACGTTTTATGCATGAAAAAGTTCATTAAATAAAAAATATTCAGTTTTCAAGATGTTTCATTAAATTTGTAAAAATGTTTCATTCTTTATATGTTTCACCGTTCAACACTACATGACAATCAGTTTTTCTTTAATGACAGTCACGTGAGTTCAATATATAAACGGCGAAACAGTTTTGTTCATTGATTTAATGATACAAAATATTTTCTTTAATATTCAAAATGTTTCATTATTTTTAGTTGATTATATATGCTTTATATTTCATAATTTATTAAGATACACCTAACTCATTGTAGGTGACAAGGAGTCACATGAGTTAGGTAGATGAAACGGTGAAACAGTTTCATCGTGAAATTTAATGGTACAAAAAATTTGCTTTAGTATTAAAAAAATAGATGGATGAGAATGATTTGTAGGGTTTGTACAAAAGGGAACGGTTTGTATTTAATCGCTCATCTCTCTCTCTCTCTCTCTATATATATATATATATATAGAGAGAGAGAGAAAAGAACGATCAAATAAAAACCGCTTCTATAGGTTGAGTTCCAAAAGGGAACCTAGGAGCCCATCTTGAATTTGTCAATTATGTTATAGTCGGAGTCCAGCTCATCAAAGTAAGAATGAAAGTTATATTGAGAAGTGCAAGAAAAAATCTCCTACCAGATCAATCATGATTAAATCAACAGTGATGAGAAGTACTGAGATGCCCTGAATCAATTAAAGATCAACAGTTATAGACAATGTTATATGTATATCTTTTATGTCAGAACCAAGTCAAATCATGTACTATAATATAAAAATCAACTATTTTTTTTAAATCGAGTTTACGTAAATATATACATAAATTCTGAATAAAATAAAAATTCAATTAAAAAAATAAAATTTAATAAAAAAAATTGTCAGGTTCTTTGAAGCATATTTTGAAGCCAATTTTTACCCTTTCTAATTATTATTTTCTTAATACTTGTCACTTTATTTGTTTTTCTTTTTAATATATACCCATAATAAATTAATTCAACCCTTTTTAAAAATAAATTTAAATTTTACTATTTATTATACTCCTTTAAACCACAACATGCATCATCTCCACCAGCTACGTAYAAAATTAAAATAGAGATTTTGAAGATACGATCTGAGTTTAAATATAATCTGTAATCTTATCCAAATGCAAACATTATTTTACTGATCATGATAATGACATGGTTTAGACAACACATAATCCAACCGAATGCAATAAATTATGAAAAGCATCGTTAATATTATATATATGTATATACCTATTGATCAACTTGACCACTTGATCTCGTCGCCCCCTCCCTCACTTTTCATATTTATATGTTACACTTAATTTTTGGTTTTTTATTTTCGTCTTAGAATATGGCTTAATTTACACTAAAATTAAAACTAACAATACATAAATTATTTAATAAAAAAGAGATGTAAATATTTATCAGTGTCACTCTTATACTTGATAATGTATATATACCATTTGTAACGGATATTTTAAATAAGACGCAATTTCCGCATCTAGAAATGATATGGTAAATCACAAACATATATACCCATGGCCTTATAAAAAATACGTATGTAATGTATTTATATGTGAATATATTCATATTCATTTGTAAATATATATGCATATTCACATTTAAATATACTCAAGTTTCTTAATTGTAATGTATACTCATATATGTTTATTTACATTTAATGATCCATGCATGCATCCCATCCACTTAATAATTCGGCTCAGTTCTTGAATTACCCATTCAAATTAACCCCCAAAAAAGGAGCATCAATCAACAAAACAGTGACACCTAATYCAGCTTATATCGGATCTTTTGTACATGGCTGGATGATAACATTCTTTCCCCCCGACTTTACCTCTCCACCACTCAATCTGCAAGTGTCATTGGTCAGTTGTTGTGTATAAAGCAAGCAATCACAGGTTCCAACTTCAATCATCCATCTCTTGCAACACAACAACAACAASAAGTAATCAAGATCGCAATGGAAACGACGAGGTTGGTTTTGTTTTCACTTGTTTTGGTTTTGGCTTTAGGGTTTGTAAGCGCAGGSAGCTTTGAATACACTGAGGACGATCTGGCGTCGGATGAGGCCAAGTGGGCCTTGTACGAGAGGTGGAGGGATCACCACAAGGTGCCGGAGCAAAGCGATGATGAGAAACAGAAACGGTTCATCATCTTCATGGACACCGTGAAACGTGTGGACAACCATAACAAGGCCAAGAAGCCATACCTTATGGAGCTGAACAAGCTGKCTGATTTGACWWSMGAMGAGATTGTACGCACGTATACCGGCGCCAAGCTAGATGASCACCACCGGATGCTTTCATCAAGGGGCAATTCCAGCCGTCTCAAGTATGCTGATCGCCACGATTTACCAGCCGAGGTCGATTGGAGACAATTCAACAACGTAGTTGTTGCTCCCAAGAATCAAGCCCAATGTGGAAGTTGCTGGGCGTTTGCAGCGATGGGTGCACTCGAATCAGCACACGGTCTCAAAACCGGTAACCTAATCTCATTGTCGGAACAACAAATTATMGACTGTGACACTGAAAAGAACGGTGGATGTAACGGAGGGGTACCTGCGTATGCATTGAATTACGTGGCCAAGCATGGAGGTATGACGACATCGGAATGCTACCCTTACAACGATCCTGCAGGACAAACTGTTTGCTGCGGTGCAAAGGTACGTACCTACTGACAACCTTAATCAATCAAATCCAACTCTTATATATATCATTCATTTTCTTTCCGAATTGCAGCTCCAAAATAGAGTCGTACATTGTCAAGGWTTTGAAGATATTCCCATTGATGACGAGCCAGCTATGATGGAAAGAGTTGCAGAACAACCTGTATCGGCTTGCTTATTCGTCTACGAAGGTTTCTATGGATACAAAGAGGTATATATATATATATATATATATTTCCTTTACAAGGTTTCTTTATTTCATCATATGATTATTAATAGGATAGGATATGATATCGAACTGCAGGGAATTTACACCGGCGATGACTGCGTAGGGGAACAGAACCCACATGCGATTAATATTGTGGGATACGGAACAACACCTGAAGGATGCAAGTACTGGATAATCAAGAACTCATGGGGAGAAGACTGGGGAGAGAAAGGATACATGAGACTGGCACGAGAAGTCGGGAATCCAAGGGGGGCCTGCAGCATCACCATGCAGACTTGTTTCCCGGTCCTTTAATTACATCGATCATCAACCATGCGATGGGGTTTATTTTAGGGTAGTCGTGAATAATCAGACTCAGCAACTGCATGCATATATATGCTTCTTAATTTGCAATCGTTGCTGGATACTTGATTTTCATAAACTGCTAAAACATTGCAGGATCATATATAGCCAATCTCCAACAGATGTAATGCCGATTATTCTCAWGACGAGATTTGGAATTTGTACGATGCAATGTCATAAAAATAAATAAAGATTTGTTACTAGTTCMAATTTTCCCTGTTAATTAATTTTGAATGTTATCTGCATTGCATTCAGCTAATTAACCGGTAAATTAGTAATTAAATTGTTATTCGGTTGCTTAAAAATAGCCCGGAAAAGAAAAGATTATTAGAGGAAGAATTAAACGAGAATGATATCTATTTAAACGAATACGAGAATAATTATGGGTCAATCATTTCATTAGATAATATCTTAATTTTTGACGTTTTTGCAAAAAGATAACAAAATATAACCACCAATTTATTCGAGGATGGGAGTCACTTACATGGAAAAAAATTAAATACGGTTAAATGGGAGGAGGCCATGAGGTGGTGATTCACCACCAATCACCTTTTATCTCATTTAATTAAGAGGCGTTTAATTCATCCTAAAAAATAAAAATAATAATGGTTGGCATAAAAATTATCGGAAATGAAAATGATTATCTTCATTATACTGTACTTCTTCATTTTTGTTGATTCAAGAATGAGAAAACCAACTATCATGCGTTTTCCTCCATTGCCTTCTTCCCCACCCGAAAAGCCAACACCTCCTTCTCCGATCACCAACCAACGCCTCCTTCGATCACCAAGCAATAACTCCTCATCTTCCGCAACCTATGAAAAAAGCTAAACGTAAAAAGAACCTCCAATCTTGTGCGTTTAGCTGATATCAAAGCTAACTGTGAAAAAGTCCACCAGTACCTCCTCCTTTAGAGATCCGATCATGACCAACGCCCCCCCTCTTCTGCATCCAAACCCTAATGCAAAAGCGAATTGTGTACATTGGTTTCAATATCGATCTAGGGTTTTCATACCCTTGTATTCTAGAAATAGCCCTATCCTCTTTTCTTGTTCTTTGTTCCTTGCTCGTTGGTCTCAATATCAACCTAGTGTTTTAAAAGCTTAAAATTGTACAAAACAATCTAGAAATGATTGGTTTTTACTCTAATATAATACAATGATATTGATTGCGTCGTTTACAACTAAACACCAAATAGTTATTTTATTGCATTTCTTATTTAAACCGAACATCATCATTAATTATATTATCATATTTCATGCATTTTAATACCTCAACAAACACCCCCTTAAATTAATTTATTGGTGCTTGGCACCACATATTGTGTGATAACCAACATTAATATTAGGAAAAAAATAAATTTGTTTTTATTGGTTTTTTAATTTTATATATTAATTTATTTTAATTTCATTTACATAGATATTGCTTGTGATAAGTTTTTTAATGTCATATAAACAAGATAATATATATATTGATGAGTAAACTATAAATTTGTTCCCTGTGGTTTGATGGTTATATCATTTTTGTTTTCTACAATTTTAAAATTAGAAATTGGAAACTATGGTATGCAGAAACGACTGGTTTGACCTCTCCCTCTAATGATCGTTAGAAGAACTGCTTAAATCAAGAGTATTTTGATTCTTTTGCTATTTTCTCTTATTTTGTTTGAAAAATATAATTTTTTTTTTCAATTTAGAGTTTATATATAAACGATATATGCAATATGTATATATACGCACACATAGTCACACTACTTTATGTTCACCTTAAAGAAAAAATTGGGTCAAAGTATTGAACATTAACAATAAGATCTATAACAAGAACTAAAAATGGGTGTTTAACTGGTACAATAACTATATCGGTGTTGCTTTCGATAAGCTCTGGGGTTGATAAATGGTAGCTATTTTCTGATTGCTTATAGAGAAAGAAATGCTTCAAAATTGTGGTGATATGCAACGATTTAAATTGAATTCTTAAACTGAATCCAACATAAGAAAATATTGCAGAGAAGAAGAGTTACCGAATAAAAACCGTCGGTAGAAATTGTGGGTGAGCTCGTCAAGATATTTTCAGCAACTGATTGAAGAACCATAAAGGACTCACCAAGATTCCGTTTACAAAACCCTAATTAGTTCATCGAAGTTGAACTCAAATCCTCCAAATTGTGAAGAACCACACTGATTTTAGTGAATAAACAAATGCGGACACTGATTTCAACGATGGATTCAATGAAATAACAATACAACAAAAAGTAGGACACAAAAACATATCTTGGAGATCCAGATCTTGAGGAGATCGAGAGCTTGAGGAGAGAATGATGTCTGAAGGCGGAGAAGAGAGACTGAGATTTGGAGGCAAACATCGATTAAGAGTTGTTAAAGTCTTTTTTTGCCACTTAATATTTTAGATGAGAGCAAGAGCTTTTAAGCTCTTATTTTGAAGAAAAAAAAAACACTCTGAAAAGAAGAATGTTTGATCGAATCAGATTTCAGAGGCAATTATATAAAAAAAGATAAAATGTACAAAATAACAATCTACTGTCATAAATTTTTTTATTATAGCATTGTAATTCCAGTTTTTCTTATTACAACAATGTACTTTCAAACTACTTTTTATTAAACATTGTACTTTGAAAAATTTACTCATTATAACATTGGATAACCTTTTGATTTAAATGTACCCATTATATCAGGTTTCCATGCCAGCTCATTATTCACGTAGGCTGTCCACATATACTATATGATGTGACTTTCTTATTACAATATTGTATTTTCAAAATTATTTTATTATAGCATCTACTAATTCTTATTAAACAATGTACTTTTAATTTTAATATTTAGATATTTTACATGTCATTTAATAAATATATTAAATGAATTATGAAAAATTCTAAATTATTCATTAATATATTAATATTAATAAAACTAGTTGAAAACAACTTATCTCGCTAATATTGTTAAAAAAATATGTGTTTTTTGAAAAAATAAAATAAGAATTGTTCCTTTTTTACCAAAAAAATATTATCTTTTAAAAAATATATTATATTTGTTTAAAAACTTTTATTTGACGTATAAATATATTAAATTAATTAGATTTTTTTGAATTATTTATTAATATAACAATATTAAAAAATTTGTAGAATATAATTTATTTCGTTAACATTTTAGAAAGAACTTTGTGATACATTTAGAAAATACACTTTTTAGATAGACACTATGATACATTCGAAAATAAACATTGTGATACACTTTTAGATACACAATGTGATACATTTAAAAAATGCACAATGCAATACATTTCAATCGAAGTTACAATATGGGTTTCTTCGAGATATAGCTTACGGTCATCATCAAGGTCTCTGACAAGATTTGGGTTTTGGTGCATCATCGAGATCTCTGTAGAGATCTAGGTGACATCGTGGGTGCAACGACGAGATCTGGGTTATTCTTGTAAAAAATTAAGACTGAAAATTATAAATCATGTTTTGTTTATAAACTTTGTAGTCTAAGGATGATTGAAAGGGATGAACAAGAAATGTGCGATGAAGAAGCTCAAGTAGAAGTTACTTGATGATCATGGTGGCAAGGGTGGATGGGTTCAACCTCACAGCCGTCGTTGGTGAGTATATAAATACGAAGTGGGTGATTGTGACGATGTTGGCTGGTGGTTTGCCGAATGAAAAACCTTTAGTGTTTAATTAATAATAAAATTAATTATCTTAAATGAATGACATCATAAATTACTAAGTTTTTATTTGATTAGTGACGTATAAATATGAATTTTTTATAAGTTACAATAAAATGAATGTTAAGTTAAAAGGACCATTTTTAAAGCATTATTGTACCTTTTACGAGGGTATTTTTATATTTATATAGATTAAGTAGAGAGGGGTTGTTTTTAAAGAATATTGAAATCCACATTCACCAAGATTGTAGTTGACCGTTTCCGTCTTGAATTTGCATTTGTTCAAACCCCCAAAAAAGGAGGATATTGACCCAAAAAAGAATGCCACCCAATCCTTATATCGGATCTTTAGCGGTTTGCGTGGTTGGATGGTAACATTGTTTGATCGAACCCCGACGTTCCCTCTCATCCACTTAATCTGCAAGCGTTAGGGTCTCATGTTCCGCTATATAATAAACGCAAACACCAGGTTCCCAACATCAAGCATCGATCATCATCTTTCAATACAACTTAATTAAGAAATGGAAATGAAGAGGCTGGTTTTGTTTTCACTTGCATCGCTTTTGGTTTTGGGGTTTGTGCAGAGCTTGGATTTCACTGATGCCGAYTTGAAATCGGATSAGACCAAGATGGCGTTGTATGACAGGTGGAGGGCCGAGTACAAGAGGCCGGAGCCAWMMCCKGAGGATAAAAAGAAGCGSTTCAAAGCATTYAMGGCCAACTTGGAACGTGTTGAATCGACAAACAAGGCCAACTTGCCTTTCAAGTTGAAGTTGAACAAGTTTGCTGATTTGAGTAACGGGGAGTTTAGGCTCCAATATAGTGGCACCCACAGCAGACATTCCCGGAGTTTGCTAGGACCAGGAGGGGGCTCCAACAACGCCGCAGATACCCCTGCTCCTCCTGCGGTTGATTGGAGAACCCAGAACGCAGTTAGCCCTGTCAAGGATCAAGGCGAATGTGGTACGTATAATCAACACCTTTTCCAACACACACACACACACACACAGTCTCTCTCTCTCTCTCAATATCTATCTATCTATATATATAGTTACTTGGGTATACTTAGTCGTTTTTCCTTTCCTGATAATGCAGCATGTGACTGGGCATTTGCGGTAGTGTCTACTGTCGAGTCGGCAAATGCAATCAAAACCAAACAGCTAGTACCACTATCGGCACAAGAACTTGTAGACTGTGACCGTGAAATGAACAAGGGATGTGACGGAGGGGTGTTGGATTATGGATTCACATACGTGAAGAGGAATGGAGGTTTAACTTCAGAGGAGAGCTACCCTTACACAATGGCAGCTGGAACTTGCAATCAGGCAAAGGTACAACCAACCTTRTATAACTTCTACAACCAACTTMACACTAACATTCRTTCTCTTTATGGATTGCAGATTGCTAATAAAGTGGCAAAGATMGATTCATATAAGGATGTCCCTATGGAGAACGAGGCSGCTCTAATGAAAGCAGTTGCAGCCCAGCCGGTAGCGGYTTGCRTTGATACTCCTATTGATTTCCAGTTATATGGAGAGGTATTCACAAATTACATAAACAGATGATACAAAAACGTAAACAAGATGCATCAAATTCAGGSTTTTCTGTATAATWAATKAATCTTCCGCTRCAAACATACATACCATAATTTGTTCTCATTCTGAAAGCCTTACAGCAAAGGTTACAAAAATCTAATTACAATTATTGTCATCATTTTTATTATATGATTGAACAGGGAATCTTAACCGGAGACTGTGGAAAGGAACTGAGCCATGGGCTAACGGTGGTCGGATATGATGACACGCAGAAGTTCTGGATACTGAAGAACTCCTGGGGACAAGATTGGGGAGAGGGTGGATACATTCGAATAGCAAAAGACGCTCCTTTCCCGTGGGGGATGTGTGGCATAGCATTGGAGGCTTCTTACCCAATCATCAGGGATGGAAATCAACCACCCAAGGAAGAATTCTAGAGTTAATCAAGTGAATAATCAAACTCCAGCAACGACATATGCTAGCTTCTCCTTGTTGGTGTTTCTTTCAATAAATTGATCCTGATCCAAGAATCAACAAAATGATCATACAGTAGTAAATGTCCAACTCATGTACTTGCTTCTTGTTTCAGCTGCCATGAACATCCATGTATGCAAATCTCATCAAATTCTATTATATGAATAAAAAACTATGTTTACAATCTTACGGAGTTCTAATCACCTTTCCATTCAAATGCCTTATATATATTTGGTGTGTTGCGTGAAC